TAGGGAACATTATCAGTCCCAGAAAGAGGATTTATAGCTCCCCTCTAGCACTGATGATGTTCCCTAGTTGGGTCATGAGACGTCTGCAAGAGCCAAGCTCGGAGAGCACCAAGGACCCCACAGTTCTCTTCCTCCTTTCCCCCTCTCCCTTCTCTTTCTCCTCCCCTCCACAAACCCCACTCCCTTCTATCATTGATGATGTTCCCTAGTTGGGTCATGAAACGTCTGCAAGAGCCAAGCTCGGAGACCACCAAGGACCCCACAGTCGTCCTCCTCCTTTTCCTTCTCCTCTTCCTCCCCACTCCTTCTCCCCCTGTCCACAACCCCCCTTTTTCTTCTAGCACTGATGATGTTACCTAGTTGGGTCATGAAATGTCTGCAAGAAAACCACCACGCTCAGAGAGCACTAAGGACCCCACAATGCTTTGCCTCCTCCTCCTCTCTCTCTCTCTGCAAACCACTCTTTCTTCTAGCACTGATGATGTTACCTAGTGGGGTCATGAAACGTCTGCCAGAAAACAACCAAGGACCCCACAGTCGTCGTCCTATCAAACCACCCTCCCTTCTAGCACCGATGATGCGAGCTAATTACCTCCTCCTCCATCTCCTCCTCTCCCTCCTAGCACTGACGACGTTACTTAGTTTGTGAATGAAACCTCGACAGGAAAACCAGGAAGGTCAGGCAGTCTATCAAGGTCCTTCTGAATAGGCTAATTGGGGTGATGAGAGTTGGGCTGCTATGAAGGGCCGTTTTCCCTCAAACCAGCTCCCCACTCACCCGTCCCAGCAACTCATGCGGTAAGTAAAGCGGTCGAGGCGTGAAGGGCGCTCCTGTCTGGCTGAGCGTGGCCACGATGGACCCTCCTGCCTGAAAACAGACAAGAAACCACACGGTCAGGGCCGCAACCCCTATCCGTGGTCAGCCTCCTAGAAGCCGCCGGCCTCTCGCTTGGTTTCTGAATGGGTCTTAAGTTTCCTGGGAGGGAAGGTGCTGTCCTCACCCAATCGTTCTCCACCATCTTCCTGAGATTGTGTATCAGCGTCAGCTCCTCCACGGAAACCTGAAGAGGAAGAGAGAGAGAGAGAGAGAGAGAAAGAGAGAGAGAGAGAGAGAGAGAGAAAAAAAGAAAAAAAAAAAAAAAAAAAATGCTACGTTTTCAGCAACATTGGAACAAAAAAGACGTTACGTCACCCTCCTTGAGGACTTCCCACTGGGATGGTTAGAACACCGAATAATAGTGCCAGAAGGGACCTTGGAGGTCTTCTATTCCACCCCTCTGCCCTATCTCATTTCAGATTGGTTGTCCAATCTCTTCTTAAAAGCCTCCAGTGATGGAGCGCCCACAACTTCTGGTGGGAAGTAGTTCCACTGGTTTAATTGTCCTCGCTTGTCAGGAAGTTTTCTCCTTAGTTCCAAGGTTGATTCTCTCCTTGGTTAGTTTCCATCCACTACAGGACAAATGGCCTTTAAGTCAAGGGCCGCTGTTAGGTGCTAAGCCTCGTGTCGGTGTTCTAAGGAAACCCCCCATTTCATTCAGCCCTCGGAAACAAAGTTCATTCAAGTAAGAATTTATTAAAGAAAGTCCTCCTGGCACACCTGGGAAAACTCGAATCGGGGAATTCTTGGGTTTTCTTTTCCCAATTGAAAATTTAAAAAAAACCCCATCCCCTGCACCCACCAAGTCCGTCCCATGGCCCAATCAACCATCATCCCAACTGGACACGTTCCTTTGCAGGTACAGAGTGACTTGTCCTTGACTTTTAACGAGAAGAATGTTGTTATGTCTAATCTTCCACCTCTCCATGAAATTCCCCCTTTCCCAAATTCCTAGGCAGTAAGATGTGGCAGCTTAGAAGCTGCTGAGTAAAAATACGGCTTCCAAAGCTGACACACCAAAGCTTAAAACCGAGTGTCGCTTAAGTGTGACTCCAAGGCAGGTCGAACGAGGGAACCTACGGTCTGCTTGTTGTGTTTCAACGTCGTCTTCCCCCAAAGGGAGTTGATCCCGTCCACCGCCACCAGCAGTCGGAAGGATCCCTGGCCAGATTGCCGCTTCAGCTCTTTCAAGATCACCCCGACAACATCGCTGGCGTACGTCACCCAAGCCAAGCCCTGAGCCAAGGAAGGAAGAAGAGAGACGAGCGGGGCGTGTTGCCATCCAGCGCAACAACCAGGCTACAAGCTCCGTGCTTTGCAGGATGGCGATGAAACCCCAAATTTCTTTCCAAGAATTGGAGGTGGCTTCCCTAAGGTTCCCAACTCTTGTATCCCCCCCCAAAACCACGACCCTGTTGAGGTGGGTCGGGCTGAGAGGAAGGGACTAGGCCAAAGTCACCCAGTTGGCTTTCATGCCTAAGGTAGGACTAGAACTCTCCATCTCCTGGTGATTGCCCCAGAATCAACCAGCCAGCTTTCATGCCTAAGGCAGGACTAGAACTCACTGTCACCCAGTTGGCTTTCATGCCTAAGGCAGGACTAGAACTCTCCATCTCCTGGTGGTTGTCCCAGAATGAACCAGCCCATGCTTAAGATGGTACTAGAACTCACCATCCCTTGGTGATTGGCCTAAAGTCACCCAGCTGGCTTTCATGCCTAAGTCAGAACTAGAACTCTCCCTCTCCAAGTGATTGTTCCTGAATCATCTAGGCAGCTTTCATGCCTAAGGTAGGACTAGAACTCCCCGTTTCCTGGTGATTGGGCCAAAGTCACCCAGCCGGTTTTCATACTTAAGGCAGGACTAGAATTCCCCATCTCCCATTTTCTAATCCAGCCCGTGAACCACCACAACAAACCGGCTCCCTTTTAAGGGAAATCCATAAAGCTCCTCAGAGACCTTCATTATTCATGAAACAGCCATGAATAATGATCACCCGAGTTAGCAATAAACTACCCCACAGGCGGTTGGTGTGATTCAACAACGACAGTAAATGAGTCCCACCGTTCTTCCACTTTTAACACATGCCTCACCTTCTCAGCCAAGTCGCTCAGCGAACAGCCTTCTTCAGTGACGTCTCTCTTGCCCCATATGTACTTCTGTTTGGTTTTGATCTGCAGCGGAGAGGGACCATTTAAAAAAAAAATAATCCACTAAATGAGAAGTCCAATTGCGACATATTATCACTTATGGCGGAACTGCAAGAAAGCCCAAACATATTGGCAGAAAATTCAGAAATGGATAGAAGAGATGTGGAAAAATTAAAATAGAATTCAGACCCGAAATTTTTCTATTGGGAATGAATGGGGGAAAATTTTGCTACGGCTGTTAAGCATATTCACTGCCGCTTTTTAAGTGAATCACAGGGTTGTTATACTCCCCCATGGATGCTGCAACGGTTGTAAACGGTCGTCAGTCCCTTTTTCTCTGTGCCGTTGTGACTTTGAATGTTCATGAAGCAAACAGTTGTAAATCAAGGATGACCCATAATCAAGTCCATGGTTGTTGTTGTTTTTTAAATTTCTCTCCCTCCCCAAAGCTTAAAAGAGAGATTCTGCCAACCTGGGCTAAAAGCTTTCCATTGGTGGTTCTGAAATTCTTCAGCCAGTTTGCGGCCTCCACGGGCTGGTCTAACCGCTCGTTATTGTAAGAAGATGGGACCAGTTCTTTGCAGTTCTTCACCCAGAGGTGAGCTACAAGAGGAAGAAAAAAGAACACACCAAACGTCTCATTTTAAACATCAGGTGTCCAGCATCTGCCACGCATCGGCCGAAAATGCAGCCATCCTGTCAAACGTCACCAAATGAAATGGCCTCCTTTTGCAATATATATACATTATACATTATACATTATACATATACACACACACACACACACACACACACACATATATATATATATATATATATATATATATATATATATATATATATATACACACACATATATATATACATATACATACATATACATATATATACATACATACATACATACATATATATATGTATATATGTATAATATATGTATATATGTATATATGTATATATATATATTCTCCTTGATCTTGTAAACATTCTGCTGTCAAGAATATTGCCCCCAATTTTTAAAGAACAGGTGTTTGGAATAACCTTTTTTTTAAAAAAAAAATACAGACAAAAGAGTTGACATTAGCTGCCCAAGGATTTTTGTATGTTAATGACCAGAAAAGAAAAACTCAAAACAGAGAGATTGTTAGAAAAAGTTGGAAGGGAATATAAAAATGCGGAATGCTTTTAATGGGTCGTTACATTACGGCTTCTGCGGGGAAACCACGATCTTTGGCCAACATGGATGGTGCATTGTTCAGAAGAGCCCCTGGTGATTGGACTGCTGTATTATTGCAGGCTAACTCTGCAGACAGCCTGGAGGTTTGATCCAGGCTGTGGGCAGAAGGACTAGGGGTGACATGATAGCAGGGTTCCAATATTTGAGGGGCTGCCCCAAAGAAGAGGGGGGGTCAGTCTATTCTCCAAAGCACCCAGAAGGCAGAACAAGAAGCAACAGATGGAAACTAATCAAGGAGAGAAGCAACTTAGAACTAAGGAGGAATTTCCTGACAGTGGGAGCTATTCACCAGCGGAACAGCTTGTCTCCAGAAGTTGTGAATGCTCCAACCCTGGAAGTTTTTAAAAAGATGTTGGATAACCATTTGTCTGAAGTGGTGTGTAGGGTTTCCTGCCTAGGCAGGGGGTTGGACTAGAAGACCTCCTAGGTCCCTTCCAACTCTGTTATTCTGATCTGGAGGGGGTTCACGGTTGATTCAGCCTTCCACTCTTCCGAGGACAGTAAAACGAAGACCAAGATGGTTGCGGGCAATGTGTAAATAATGCTCCTACGTTGCAAATTGTCCCGAGAGTGCTGTAAAGCATGATGGGGCCGCATACAAGCCTAAGTGCTATCGCTGTTTGTTCTTACCGTCTGGAATGTGAATGATGACCCAATTCTGCCTTGCACAATAATGCACGGCGTGGCAGAGAACCATGGTTTTTCCTGTACTCTTCTCTCCATCTTCAAGACTGTTTAAGGAAGCCACAGCCCATACCTGTCATCTGTACCGTGGAAGAATGTGTGCGTGCCTGCATGCAGGTACAGCAGCTACTCCTGGAGTTATGGCTATTTGTTTTATCAGCCATTCCAACTTACAACGGCACTGAACATCGGGGTCACGTCGCTGCAGGATACTCTAAATTTGAGCTGGGCGCCAAGCTTTCAGAATTGCCATCGCGTGACCGGACGTGTGTATGTGAGCAGCCGCCGTAACTCCGAAAAGAGGTCATAAATATACTTGGGGAAGCCCTTTGTAACTTTGAACGGTCACTAAGCAAGGACTACACAGATCTTTAGAATAAGAAGGGATCCTGCAGATGGCTGAGTGTAGCCCTGTTCTTATTCTGTAACTATTTTAGCATCATCATCATCGTCTTGGAATCTGGGCAACCAGATGGAGCCGAGTGTTTTACTGGCCGGATGCCCTTCCTGTTGCCAATGTGGAGTTTTGTTCAGCAGATCATATTCTCATTGTGCCCAAAGAGAGGGAAATACCTGCCTCCATCTAGGATCAAACCCCCAGCCTCCTCTGTTAACTACATTTAGCACGAGGACCAGAAACTTGCCCGGTCTCGTTCCGTGGAAAGAACAGCAACAAGAAAGGATACAGAGGAGATACCGGACGGCTGGATGAGACCAGTTGGTGTGTTTTAAGTAGGTGATCAGTTCCACCGCCGGCTGTCGGACCATGACGCAAGCTTCGTTGAAGGTTTTCATCTGGCGGGGAAAAGAGAAAAAGGGAGAAAGTCAAGACCTTCAAAGAGAGAGAGAGATCATTTCAGCGAAATCAGCACGAAGTTTTGGGCTCGAGCAAAAGAGCTTTTGTCGCTTTCGAGGGCCCAGCCCTGGGGTCCGCCCTGCAACATTTTGAAAGGCAGGCAGACGCGTCACCTGGAGTTTGAAGCGTGCTGGTAGCCCGTGAGGAAGGGCCTCCTTCACTTCCTCAGGAGAAATGGTGTAATATTGACCTAGGTGCTCTTCACCGTGTTTGGCCTGCAAGATGGAAAGGAGGAGAGAGACGATGGCCGAGTTCAGTTCTTATTGACTATCCACGCCGAATTGTTTTTTTTCTTTTTGTTGTTGTGGGAATTACGATGAAATATTCCCAAGGAGTTCAAGAGAACCACAGGAAGGAAGGACAAATCACCGGCCTGCATTGCCACAAGGAGCATTCAGGTAGTCCACAACCGAGCCCAAACTTTTAAGCTGCTAAGTGAGACATTTAAGCGAGTTTCTCCCCGTTTTACGCGCCTCTCTTGCTAACCGTAGTTAAGTGAATCACTGCAGCTGTTAAATTAATAACACGGCCGGTAAGTGAAACTTGACTTCTCCGTTGACTTTGCTCGTCAAGAGGTCGCAAAAGGGGATCACGTGACCCTGGGACACTGCAGTTGTCATTAAGTGTGAGTCAGTTGTCAAGCATCTGAGTTTTGATGATGTGACCACGGGGATTTTGCAATGGTCGTGTGAAAAATAGCTATAAGTCACTGAATGTACTGTTGTTAAGTCAAAAGACTGCCTACATATCTTGCCGTTTATCCACCAGGTTGGGGTATCTGGAGAGCTCTGGATAAAAGCCATTCAGCCTTCGTGCAAACATTCTCCCTCTCTTTGAGCCTGAAGACGTGGGACCGAGGACGCCTTTAGCCCAGCGGGCTAAGATTCCTTTCTTGATCCGCTGGGGATCTCGAGCTGAGAAAAATAGGTTTAAATCCACCTCCGTCATCAGTTCTGGGTGCCTAGACCCACACTGGGTTTTTTTTTTGTTCCAAACAACAGGGAAAGATCAGTTGCCAGGCAACTGAGAGACTCTGGATGGCAGGGAATGGCCCCATACTAGTGCTGGGAGGAGGTGTGTGTGTGTGTTACACACACAGGGTCTTGCCTGCCTGTTGCGGTTTCCATGGAGACCCCCCAGAAGATTCAGCAGGGGAGAAAAAAAATATTTTTCAATGGCAGAAGCAGCTATAAAAACCTCCCGAGGACGGTTTTGCCTGCCACGTTTTGGGTTGCTGCGGTTCTTATTGTAACAATGAAGATGATTGTGGTATGTTCTCCCTGGCAAATACACACCTAAGGGGAAATTCTGTTTTTTTTAGATGTGTTTCTTTAGAATGCCAGGGCTGTTTGATTATTTCTACAGACATCATTGGTGAAAGGGCTGCGATGGCACCACCCGGTATGATTTTTTTTTAAAAAAATTGCAATCAAAAGCTGCACATTGGCCATTTTTAGGGCATCAAGTATGCTTGCACTTTATATAAAGAAATAACTGTAATTCCAGATTTTTTAGAGAATGATTGCAGCTTTCTTACAGGTGGCGAGCGGACTTGGGATCCCTCAAACAAATTCCCTTGGAGGCTGTGGGTAAATTGTGGAAGTGAAAATCAACTCTATAGGAAAACTAGAATTCACTTTCTTTGTAGGGTATTCTAATAGATATGTACACAATTAGAGGAGGACCTAATGAAAAAGCTGCCATGCAGGGAAAGGTGGAAAGGAAGAGAGGTTGACCAGCAGGAAGCTGGAGGGGGCACCATTGGGTGACTTGAACGAACAGATTAAGGACGGATTGTCATAGACAAAATTTATATTTTTAGTTGCTAGGAATCAAACCCAAATTGGTGGCACATAATCAAAAATCAGTAATAGAATCCTGCAAGTCTTTGTGGTTTACCTCAAAAGGCTGACCTCCCTACCCCATCAATCCAAGTTAAGTAGATGCCGGAGAAAAGGTGAAGGAGCGAAGCAGCTGGTTGCTTACTTATAATTTAAAACGATCACCAAATTATAACTAGATCCTACAGTCAAATGCAATTCATGCTGACCAAGGCAACCATTATTTTCCCAAATGAACACACACAAGCTTGATCCAACAATAAATATTCTACTTTGCTTGGCAGAGTCACGAACCTTTGCCGGAGTCCACAAACAATTGGAAATACTGGTAGTTCTCGACTTACAACAGTTCATTAAGGGACCTTCTGAAGTTACAAAAAGCACCGAAAAAAGGGATTTTTCACACTTTACAATAGTTGCAGCATCCCCATAGTTATGTGATCCAACATTCAGATGCTTGGCAACTTGGCTCATATTTATGACGGTTGCAGTGTCCTGGGGTCACTGTTTGATACCTTCTGAAGCCAGATTCACTTAACAACTGAGTTACTAACTTAACAACTGCAGTGATTCACTCAACAACTGTGGCAAGAAAGGTCATAAACTCTGGGGCAAAACTCTCTCTTAACAACTGTCTCACTTGTCAACAGAAATTTTGGGCTCAATTGTGGTCACCAGTCGAGAATAGCTGACCCCTTCCAAACTCCCACGCCTCCTAATGTTAACTCACTGGGTCGTTCTGGCTGGTAACAAGGGCCGCTCTGAGCATTTCTGGTGGAAGCTGGACGTTTTGAGTTGACACTGCCCTCTGCCAGGTTCTGGGATAGAGAAAGCCATCCTGTTCCAGCTAAGGGGAGAAAGAGCCTGTGAGTAGGGAGATATCCTGGTTTTTCAAAACAACAGCTAGAAAAAGGAAAGCTTAAAAATGCCTTAAAAGTAAAAAAAAGAAAAACTTAAAAAAAAAAAACCTGAAACAAAACTTTTTTTAAAAAAGAGAGGCATATTTAGAAACAAGTAGTTGGCTATCCTTAGCCTGAAGATAAAAAGAGCAGCATGGTTGTGATCCCTTTTCATGATTGTGATCCCTTTTGGTACCTCAAAAAACCATTCCTTGTCCCCAAATCACAGGCAGGTGGGTGAACTCACCTGGTATCCCCGAGGGATGAGTTTTCTCAAACTCCTCAGCATTGTTCCTCCTGAAAATAGAATAGAATACCTTTATTGTCATTGCATTCCACGAATACAATGAAATTTGAAAGCTACTCCAGCACAGTGCCCCAACACCACATCACAATCACACTACAGAGTTTTAAAAATTAAAATAATAATAATAGGACTGAATCACAAATGCACTGTTTGATTCAGTACAATTACTGCCTTGGAAAAGAAACTGTTTCTCAATCTATTAGACCTCATTTTAAGACACCTATAACGCCTCCCTGATGGTAACAGATCAAAATATGAATGTCCAGGATGAGAACAGTCTGTGGAGATTTTTAATGTTCTAGAGAGGAGTCTGGTCTTCGCAATCTCTTCCAAAGAAGAAAGAGAGCAACCGATGATATTTTGTGCTGTATTTATACACTCTGGAGCATCTTCTTATCCACTGCAGAGCATCCAGCATACCACACTGGTATGCTATAATAATAATACCAGCAGTTGTTTTAAACAAAAGGTAGCAAGATGTGTATTCTAAGCAGGGTTTTCACTTTTTAACTTTCTGAAAGCCAAGCAGTGATATAACTCCCTTGACGGCGTAAAGGAGAAATTGTAAATTTCCAGATCTATTACGGTAGAGAGCCAGCAAACCAACTCTAGAAAATGTGTAAATAAGATGCGAAAGGATCTTGTCTTCCTACGTTCTCTTTCATCGCCACAAAATAGACAATGAGATTCCCATTCAATCGTGCCTTTTCCCAAAAAGAAACCCCCATTTCTCCATTTTTCAGTATTTTTGCTTTCCAACCTCCAACACAGAACATACAGGTAGTCCTCGACTTATAATTCATTTGGTGGCCGTTCGAAGTTACAACGGCACTGAAAAAGGTGACTTGCAACCTTTTTTTCACCCTTAACGACCGTTGCAGCGTCAACAACCATGGTCACTTGATTAAAATTCAGATGCTTGACTCATATTTACGACAGTTGCAGTGTCCCAGGGTCACGTGATCCCCTTTTTGCGACCTACAAAGTCAAAGATTCACTTAACGACTGTGTTCCTAACTTAACCACTGAATGATTCGCTTAACGACTGAGGCAAGAAAGGGGGTCAAAAGGGAGAAAATTCAGTTAATATGTCTCATTGAGCAACACTTTGGGCTCAGTTGTGGTTGTAAACCAAGGACTACCTGTATTGGGTTCTTGCTGGATTGTTTAGTGCCGTTTTTCCTCTTCAGATTTGTTTCTCCTTCTCCTTCGGATGCAAGGAACTTAAGCTCTATTTTCATCTATATTTTAAAGGAATACGTTTTAATTCACAGAAAGCTTTTCCACTTCGTAGCCACTACAGCAAAGCAGCCTGTCCCCCATTTGGAGCCCCCCCACAATGTCGGGAAGGCTGCACAACAACCCTGCGAGGTAGGCTCGAAGGAGAGAACAAGCCCCTGGCTGAAGGATGAGGCCGTCTTCGCTCACAAGATCGTCCCCAGAAGTTATATGAAGAGAAACGACAGGCAGAATGACAGGTGCCTAATTCTGTGTGTCGTCCCCCCCTCACAAACCTCGCATTAAATAGGAAATAAAAGCAAAACAGCCCCCCCCCCAAAAGGCTGTCATCCCCACCTTCCGCCAAAACCGAAATATAACTTCCTACGAGAAAAAAGGAGGAAAAAAGCCAACCGACGTGCTAGATCGCCGTGAAGGGTTTAAAAAAAAAATATCTCCGCCGGTCCCTCAGGAGTTTTCCGTCGTGCTGGGCGCCGCCATCTTAATCTGCCGCGCGCCACAGCCCGACGGCGCCTCCGTGTTCGGGCGACGGGTCCTGGCAAGGGACATTCTTCCTTCGTCCGAATCTTTTTTTTTTTTTTTTTCTCCTTCCCTTCCCTCTTTGACCGCCCCCCACTCCCCACAGGAGCAGCGAGTACGCGCCGCTCCTCCCTCACCCTCCTCTCACGCCAAGGCGACGTCGATTGGCGGGCGGGCTGAGGAGAGGGCGGGCCCGCCTGGCAAGCGGCCGGCGTTGATTGGCGGAGGCTCCCCCCTCCGTCTCTCCTCTCTCTCTCTCTCTCTCTCTTTCTCCCTCCCTCCCCTTCGAGGCATCCAGCGCTGAAGGGAAGAGTAAGGTTGGTTTCCCCCACCCGCAAAAAAAGGGAGGGAGGGAGGGAGGGAAGGAGGCGTGGGCGTGGCCAGGGCGCGCTCGAGCGCGAGACAGGAGCGCGCAGGCGCGCGCTGAGGCCAGAGCGCCGCTGCTGCCGCCGCCGCCGTCGCCGCCGCCGCTGCCGCCATTTTGGATCCGCGGCCGCCCTCAGGAGCGTGAGGGGGCGAGTGAAGGAGGCAGGCCGAAGGCCGCCGTTTGCCTCCCGGCGTTCCGGTTTCCAAGCATCGGCCGCAGCCGCCATCCGGCCTGCGGGATGAGGCGGCAGCCTGGCCGCGATACGGTGAGTTGCGAGGCGGCGGCGGCGGCGGGGTGGGAGGAGGGGGACGGAGGAGGAGGAGAAAAAGGAGGCGGGGGGGGGGGGTCAGGGGCCCCCCCCCGGCGGCCAGGGGGGGGGGGGGGGGGGCCCCGGGGGGGGGGGGGGGGGGGGGGCGGGGAGGTCTGGTGGGTGTTTTAAAAGCTTGGTATCCAAACGCGGCCGGTGGGGTTGAGGTGCCACCCTCTGCGAGTGTGTGTGTGTGTGTGTGTGTGCACACTTGTATCTGAGCCTGGGAGGTCTGCGTGTGCACACGCTCATAGGCGGGGAGGAGTGCATGGGGTACGGGCGTGTGTATTATGTGAGCACACCTCCTTTGGGTGTGTGTGTGTGTATCAATACGTGCATGGAGTATTTGGGTGTGTGTGTGCGCGCGTGCTGTAATTTATCTGAGTGTGTGTGGTGTGTGCGTGCACACCTCAGTCTGAATCTGTTAGCTCTGTGTGTGTGTGTGTGTGTGTGTGTGCACCGTTTATGGGGGAGTGTCCTGAGGGTGCATGCACACCTTTACCTGTGTGTCATGTGTGTGAGTGCACGTTTGTGTGAATCTGTTAGGGCTGCGGGTCCACCCGTGTATTGGGGGGTGGGGGCTGTTGTATGGCGTTTGTGTATTGTGTGAGCACATCTTTGTGTGTTACGTGTATCAATATGTGTGTTGTGTTTATGGGGGTGGGGGTGTGCAGGCACCTTCATCTGTTAGGTTTGTGTGTTTATGGGGGAAAGGTTGTATGGGGTGTGTGTGTGTATTGTTTGAGCACACCTTTATCTGAGTGTGTATTAGGTGTGCCTGCACACCTGAGTATTAGGACTGCATGCGTCCCCATTTATGGGGGAGTGTCACCTGTCAGCATATCTTCAAGTGTCATGTATGTGAGAGCCCGTTTGCGTGAGTGTGTTAAGATGTGTGCACTTGTTTATAGGGGGAGTTGTATAGTGTGTGCGTATTACGTTAGCACACCTTTATTTGAGTGTGTATTAGATGTGCATGCATACCTTTATCTGAGTCTATTAAGTCTGTAGGTGCAGCCATCTGTGGGGGGAGTATATTACACATGCACACCTTTATCTGAGTGTTATGTGTGAGTCTTAGAACTGTGTGCACAGTTATAGGCATTGTGTCATGGGTGTGTGTATTATGTTTGAATATGCACATGTTTATGGGGGGGATGTATTATGCTTGCATACATAGGTTTATATACACCCGTGTATACTTCCAATGAGGGTATCTCATAAATGCATAGGTGTACAGTTATACATGTGCATGCAGGATCCACCCCCTAGATACCTAGATATATGAGAGATGATGGCTCAAGAGAGCTGCTTGATCTCTAGTTGGGTGGGGGTCCTATTTTGGCAAAGTATTTTGAGAAGGGGGGACTTGTTACATGTTGGTGTTTTGGCAAGGCCCCTTATATTGGGGAGTTTGACTGAGTCGGTTGCAGTTTCGAAGCTTAATTTTGTAGGTTTCCCTTTGGGGATTTTTGTTCACACTCTCTTCGCGCTTGGTTTTTTTTGTTTTATAGTGTCCAGGGCCAGATGGGGGATAAATTGCAATAAGGGAATTTACACACACAATCCTTGTGGGATTCCCTCGTGTTGAGACTTTGTGTTGTCAGATTCTTGGGTCCTCACTGTTTACACTGGAGGTTGTGGTACAGTTCCAGAATTCTTGATCTTGGTGTCTAAGTCTTCCTCTTCTTAATTGCGATGTGTGTCTCTACTGGTTTGTTTAACTACGTGTCTATGTGTGTAGACTTCTAGATATCTTTTTATAAAAAATACTTTTTTGGTTGTCAATATGATGGAAATTCAGGTGGCTGAACCTTGTAAAATGTGTATGATAAACTCTTGACCATACAGTTCCATAGTTGGAAACTTTTACAGAGGGTTTCTAAATAAACTTGATTTCCAAGAATTATTGCTGGGTGCTCCCAGCATGAGCTGTACGTACAAGCCGAAGATTGGTTCCTTGAAATCACCTCAGTATTGCCACATATTCAGCATAAGACATATTTCATTTGTGAAAAGTAGCACAGAGTGTGTGATGTGCACACACACTCATGCATAAACACACACGTGTTTTGTTTGATATACAAATGTTGGAAAACTCTTAGCCAATCGCTGTTTCCCAGCGTGTCCATGCACCATAATAGATCATCACACATGACATTACATGTGCTTTGCATGCTAATTTTTTATTTAAATGTAGCCTTTGGCTCCCATATGGCGAAAGAGATTCTTGACAATCCGGTTAACCTGTTTAGAACTGCTCTGGAGAGCAATTCCTCCCCAGATCCTGTGCAGATAGTTTTATAAAGATCATTAATATTTTTTGTTTTTTTGTATGCCACAATGTGTAAGCTCCCACGAACTATTTGACTGGTCAATTTGAGTTACATAAAAAAGAGAAGAAAAGGAGCGCTATATAAGATCTAAAATACATCCAACATCAGATATCCTACAGCCAGAGGAAAGAGCAGGGTTGTTGTGTCATTAGATGACTTGGGAATAAAATATACCTTATCAAGGCTGGTATCCATATGTGATTTTTTTCTCTCTCATGTAGTGGAAGCTTTTCTTCTGTTTGTCTCTGAAACATTTTTATAGCTAAGAACTTTTGCTTTTGTTATTATTATCAGATAATAAGGATTCTCCTTGTTTTTCTTGTGTTTGATAACTTTCATCCCTTTGTTCATCAACCTTAGATCTAAATACTTATCACTCACGTTTATCCATCACTTCTTGTTAACTTGTTCAGAGTTTGATTGAGGATTTTTATTTTTTTTATTTTTGTAATCTTCTTTAGAGAGAATGAAAACCATTTTGGCCGGTTCAGGGAATTCCAGGGTTATGATTGCCTCTCTTTTCTATGCTGTTTTCATCCAATTGGTTTGGGAGTTCCCTCTTTGATATATTCTTAAAATTTAACCACCGTTATCTCTTGTTGATAGACAATTAGAACAGCCTCAATCTTATGGATGGTGGCCCTCCTGAAACCAGGAAATGGGCAGCAAATACATTTGATAAGTAAATTGGGGCTACGTTTTCCCAGAATCCCCAGCTGTTTCAGCCATTGGGAGCAGAGGAGAAATAGGGAGCCTTTCACCGCTTTTGAATTGCATGTGCAGCCGGGGGGCTTTTAGAGACTGGAACACCCCCTCCTCTTCCTCAGGTTGTCACAACTGTTCACTTGCTGAGAACCAGCGCTGGAGGACCAAACCAGTAGCAAGATTTATATCCCCATTGGCGTAATTTATTACAGTTAGAAATAAAATAAAAGGTCAGTTTGTTTGGATTTATGTGTCACTCATCTCATCCAGAGGTGGCATGCGCAACAGAAAAATTTGTATGAAATCCATGAAAAATAGATTTGTACAAGTCAAATCTTCCCCCTTCTCACAGAGTATTTCAAGAACTGTTTGCCTTGAAGCATTTTTTTTTTTTGATGTTTGTGTTTTTCTTTTAAGTGTTTCCTTTTCAATTTTCATAAATGAAAAGCTGATACCATTTTGTATTAGTGCACAACTGGAGCGCAGGTAAGCCTTGGCTCCAAAGATTCATCATTCTGAACCTCTGTCCTCGGAAAGGAAATCATTCTCTCCCCTTCTGTCTGTTCATAGTGAGAAGATGTTGGCCACGGACATCCGGGAAGAGCGACCTATGGACCGCCGGCCTGCCATCTTTTAAGAGAAGAAATTTTGCCACAGCACATAACTGTGATGGACCCTCAGCATACTGCTATGTTAGGGTTGGGTTCTGGTTCTGAAGGGTTTTCTGGGAAGAGCCCCTCTGCGGGTGCCACGGGAGTTAGGCGAGAAGTGGAGGTCGATGGTAGCGCAAAGGAGGAAGAGGAGGAGAAGAAGAAGAGTTGTGAGAAGAGTGGCAGCGATGAGGCGGGGAAAGAGGGAAGCCTGTCGGATGCCCAGCACCAGTTTTCTGTGAAGGAGACCAACTTTTCCGAAGGGAATTTAAAACTGAAAATTGGCCTCCAGGCTAAGAGAACTAAGAAACCCCCCAAGAACTTGGAAAACTATGTCTGTCGCCCTGCCATAAAAACCACTATTAAACAGCCCAGGAGGGTGCAGAAAGTTGGAAAGATGGGTGAGGAGAAGAATGATCCAGGATCCGCGAAGCAGGTGAGTCGCACTTGGGTTTAAACCCTAGTGTCCATATCCAGGGGGTTGGTTTTGTTTTGTTTTTCTTTTCATTGATACAGGACTAGTTTTTGGTTTCTCTCTTCCCCCTTTTCAGTACAGGTTGTCCTCGACTTAACAGCCCTAACCAAGCCCAAACTTTTTGCTGCTAAGTGAGACATTTTGTGAAGTGACTTTTGCTCCATTTTACAATCTTCCTTGCCTCAGCCGTTTAGCGAATCACCGCAGTGGTTAAATTAGTACCGCGGTTGTTAAGTGAATCTGGCTTCCCCATTGACTTCGCTTGGTCAGAAGGTCACAAAAGAGGAATCGCCTAACTCCCAGGATGTTACACCAGTCATAAATATGAGTCAGTTCCCAGGGCTCTGAATTTTGATTCCATGATCCTGGGGGATACTGCAACAGTCGTAAGTGGGAAAAACAGCCATAAGCCGCTTTTTTCAGGGCCACTGTAACTTTGAACCGTCGTTAAATGAACTGTTCTAAGTCGAGAACTACCTGTACCCTCCTCCCCGTCCTGAGTGTTTCTCTTTAAAAACCCACTTGATGTTGGTTGTGCTAGTTCTGTGTTCTGATTTAGACTGACTTGCAAAATCCAGTTTCACAATGCCAAGAGTAACCAAGCAAAGGGATTTTGAGGGTTAAGTGTGGTTGGCTCACATTTATCTTGTTGCAGTCCTTATAACACGGTACGGTCGGTCGGTATTCTCCCAGTATTGTGGGATACAGGACCAGCACCTAAGAAAAATGCTGATTTTCTGCAAAGTTCAGGAGAAAGGTGAGATTTAAATGGACAAACTCTTGTTTTGTAGCTCAGGATTTTAACCGTTATGTTACGCAGCCCCAGATCTGGGCAATTTATCAGGATTTATTGATCAGAAGGGTTCTATTTTTTATTTTTTTTCAAAAGGCAACTGGACATCTTTGTTTTTTCTTGAAGACCTTTCCCTTCCCACCCAAGAAGCTTCTTCAGATCTGAAGAAGCTTCTTGGATGGGGAGGAAAAGGTCTTCAAAGAAAAACAAAGATGTCCAGTTGCCTTTTTGAAAAAGCACCTTTGGAATCACCATGACCTGGATGACTGAGAATCTCCATTGACATTGATCAGGAAGGGTTGGCAGGGCTCTCTGCCAGTTGTCTGGTTTTCAGGGGCCTCTGAATCGGGGTGAGGGGGGGAAAGGGGGGACACTCTGCATGCTGCTCAAAGCCCTCAGATAACCTTTCCCTATTAAATTTATATTCTGCTTTTCTTGCTATAAACTCCGTATGTGCCCCGCTGTCCTCATAATGATTGAGCAATGATGCTTCTCGGACTGCATGTTTGTTTTCTAAATGCATAAACTGTATAGGCCTCAGTGGCAAGAAGGTATGTGGATGTAACCAGAGCAGGTAGGAATTGTAAGAGGAGAAACGAAGTGTAAAGAAGACAGGTATACCAATTCATTTGTGGAGTTGCAAGAGGGAGGTTTTTTTGGTAGTTGGCTAGAGATACAGATCATTTCTCTGGGGATAAGAGAACACCGGTGTTTCAATAAACATTGTATTTTGAAGGTCAATGAGAAATTGTCTCGTAGAGACTGAGTATGCGCGCGCGTGTGTGTGTGTGGTGATGTTTAAAACTCAATTCTGCCCTTTCTCCCAGGTGACATAGTTTCACCTTCAGAATTTGACCTGTGTTTATTCCGGCCTCACCGAAATCTTCATGTCTTTGCAAACCTGGGTTTGAGATGCATCCCTAACCAAGTGGCTGATCAGATAGAATTTCTCTCTCTCTCTCTCTCCTTGCTTTCAGACCTCAATTTATTCTTGTTAAAGTAATCCCATCATGGCGTTTATCTAACACCTCAATTTTGCGTGCTTAAAATGTTTTTCAAAAGCCCTGCACAAAATGCTTTCGAAATTAATGTTCCCATTTGTAAAGATTGAGAATGGAGCCGGAGAGGACTTGATGGCATGCTCTCCTAAATGGTCCAGTTCCTTTGAATTTCGGTCCTGCAAAATAAAGTTAGATTCCAAATATACGTAGATGCAAAACTAGCTGCAGGAGAAAATATTCTTTTTCTAAAAAAAAAAATCAGATATTCGTATTAATTTTCATAACATGACTTAACTGTGAGCAGTTTTGAATCCATGCAATTGTGGATGCTTTAAATATAGCTTGGAAGCTTCTGCTAGGATAGGTGCGTGTCATGCGATTTTTAGCGCGCATAAAAACATCCGAAAATCCAGGTGTTTTAATTCCAGAACTGAACAACTTGATAAAACGTGCCCACCATCTTCTTGTGATTTTGATAGTTCCTTAACTCATGCCTCTAGCTGGTGTTTCGCCATGTAAGCAGGCAGTCTCCAACCTCTGCTGCAGGACGTAACTTGGCTAAAATTAGCAGAACGATTTATCTTCTGTACCTGTAACCCCGGGGCCATTGTCGGGAGGCAGAAAATAAAAAACTCCCTAGTTCTTAAGCTGTCACAATTTCAGTATCTTAAGTGCCCCCAACCAAAAGAACCCAATTCATGCCTTGTTCTTTAAGGATAGTGACACCCAAATAGAAATTTTGTAGGAAAAAAAGCTAAATATCCTGCCTCTCTCTCTCTCTCCCCCCCCCTCTCTTTTGCTATCCCAGTTTTTTCAATTCTTTCACTCTCCATAAATATTTATGTTGCTTGCCTGTTGAGAAAGGGGCCCGTCTTTCTCTCCATTATTTTGTAGAGAGCAGGAGGACGAGATCTATCGTTCCCCAGATGTTCTTGGATAGCCACCACCTGTTATCCCTAGGTATTGTCTGTATTGAGCTATGGCTATGGCTGCTGCACTTTTTTCATTGCTACCTTAGAAGCAGAATTGTGTCTTTCTTTTCCCCCTTTGTTCGGAGGAAAGCCTTTTCTAAAATTATAACTGTCAGATCAAAACATTAACAGTGTGATTTTTGTTGTTGGTTGGTTGGATGTAAATGTCTCTCCCGTATGGTGCTTTGGCGTGTAAGTTCGTGGGAGAGAGGCAGGTTTAAGGAATGAAAGCCTTCTCAAAGGGAAATCATAGTGTTTTGGCCAGACATTTTAGGAAAAGCGCGAAGAGGGACATTTGAAATACAATAGAAGAGACTGTTTGGATTGTGGGGTCCTTGGGTCTCTCTGAGCTTGGTGGTTTTCTTACAGACGTTTTATGATCCAATTAGGTAACACCATCAGTGTTCGAAGGTGTGGGTTTTGCAGAGGAGGATGAGGGGGATGACTGCTATGTCCCTGATGCTCTCTGAACTTGTTCTCTTGCAGACATTTCTTTACCCAGTTAGGTTATATCATCAGTGCTAGAAAGCACTGAGATTTGCTGATGATCATGATGTTACCTGGCTGGATAATGAAATACCTGCAAGAAAGCAACCAAGTTCAGACAGCACCAAAGACCCCACATTAGAAACACAAGCAATTATTACAACTAGCAGGCTGAGGTGTTTTTTTTGAAAAGCTTACTTAATACTCAAAAGAGTAACAAGTAGGAACCAAGCAGGCATTTTAGGAAATAGGTTTGCCAAACAGAAATGCTACAGTTTCTAACGTCGTTGCTGTTTCCCATACGCAGCCTACCATTATTTGTACGTCCCTGTCTGGTGAACAGATTTCCAGGGATGCTTCCCAATAAACAGCACATCTGATATCACAGTTAGCCGAGGCCTGGTAGGCTCACAGTTGAAATTTAAAGGGAGGAGGAATGTTAAATTTAAAAATATATATATATATATATATTTTTGCAAAGGATGTTCACAGGTAACAGTCTGGTCATCTCACCCTTCATTGCTACCTTCAGGGTGTTTATTTTCTGTGTGCCCTTTTTCCTCTCCTAGCTGTTTGTTTTAGAAGTGCTTTATAAGTGAATAAAAGGCATAATAAGGAATGTTGACACTCAAGTTGGAGATATTGGTGGTTTGGAGGGGTTCTTGTTACTAAAAGTGAAATTATCTTTTGAGCGTAACGCTCAGAATGCTTTTGAATCTTTATCTTTCGACATAAGTCATCTTCTCAGGGGTTCTCCAAACACACAGGGGGGTTATAGGGCTCAGAAACCCCCCCACCAGCACGAGGAAGATTGTAACCCCAGCCCAGCTGCAAGGCTGACCCATGCACCACACCACTGCAAGGTCCATGCATAAATTGCAAAATGCAGTGATCCGCAGCCTAAATTGCAAAGGGTTGGAAATGCCAAAGGAGAAAAGGGGGTGGGGGAGAAGAAGCTACCCTGGGGTCAAGGAATTTGTCTGACATAATAGGGCAGTAAATTGTTCAATAATTTTGTCAGAATTATTAAATGTATCCCCGGGGCTCCCTTTTGAATCTCTTTTGTGTGTTTGTTTTGCTTGAAGTGAAATGTGCTAATGATGAGCAAGCCTGTAATTGAGATAAAAGTAGAATCTGGAGTATGTATGATGCAACAGGAGCTTGATGGATTTGCATAGGGTTTTTTTCTCTCTCTCTCTCTGTTTTGAACTGTGTGCCTTCCACCTGGAAGGAAGTCTCAGCCTCAGAAACCATCAAGGGTGGGCATCAAAGAAGTTGGGGGGGGGGGGGGGAAACAGGCCATGCAGAACCCTTACAGAATAGCAGAGTTGGAAGGGACCTTGGAGATCTTCTAGTCCAACCCCTGCCCAACTAGGAGACCCTACACCATTTCAGACAAGCGGCTGCCCAATCTCTCCCCGAAAGCCTTCAGTGATGGAGCACCCACAACTTCTAAAGGCGCTGGTTGATTATTCTTATTGTCAGGAAGTTTCTCCTTCATTCCACGTTGCTTCTCTCCTTGATTAATTTCCACCCATTGCGTCTTGTCCTACCCTCAGGTGCTTTGGAGAATAAGCTGACCCCCACTCTTCTTTGGGGCAGCCCCTCAAATATTGGAAGACTGCTGCCATGTCACTCCTGGTCCTTCTTCCAGGGTTTATATACAAGCCCACTGAGAGCAGCTTTTCAAATGCTGCATGATTATTTGTT